TCTTATTACATTCAGTATCTTTTTACATTTGTCTATAACCTTTTGAACATGAAATGTCCAGTTCAGTTTCTCATCAAACCATAATCCTAAGAATTTGAATTGTTTTACTCTCTCAATGTCCTGATTGTATAACTTCAATTTTATTTCCTGATTTACTTTATTTGTAAAAAGTATAAGTTTCGTTTTATCAACAGAAAATTTATAACTCCATTTAAAAGACCATTGCTCAATCTTATAAATTGCATTCTGTACCTTTTTAACAAGATTTTTTATTTATTTTTTCCACGTTTCCATATAGCCCCATCATCAGCAAAAAGAGAGCAACCCATGTCATTCTCTATTTCCTCAAATATATCGTTAATCATAATTGAAAACAATAATGGACTGATAATACTACCTTGTGGAATACCATTATCAATATTTTCTAATAAAGTCTGTCCAATCCTTACCTGTATTATCTGATCTACTAAAAAATCTTCAAGCCAATAATACAATCTGCCATTAATGCCAATATCCCTTAGTTTGAACATTAATCCTTCTTTCCACATCGTGTCATAAGCTTTCTCTATATCTAAGAATACAGCCAGAACACTCTCTTTATTAACCTGAGCTTTTTTAATTTCATGTTGTAAACAAACAGCAGAGTCCATAGTGTTCCTTCCCCTTCTAAAACCACTTTGATATTTAGCCAAGGAACCTTTAGTTTCTATATAAAATGTTATTCTTTCATTTACCATTTTCTCCATAATCTTACACAAGCATGATGTTAATGCAATCGGTTTATAGTTTACAGGATGTGTACAATCCTTCACTGGTTCTGGAACTGGTATTACTACAGCCTCTTTCCAGCTTTTAGGTCATTTCCCACATTCCCATATTTTATTATATATTTCTAACAATATTTCTTTTGAATACTCACTAAGTTTATTTATCATTATATATCCAATTTGATCTTTTCCTGGAGTTGATATTTTAACTTTCATTAATGCATATCTTAACTCAGAAATTGAAAAATACTTATTAATGATATTATCTTCTAAATGTATTGTCTTTTCTTTCCCTAATATGGTAGATTCTCTTCCCTTCCTCCACTCTTCACTAATGTTATTTGAACTATGGATATTTATAAATGCTTGAGCCAACATTGTAGCTTTTTCCTCATTTGTTACAGCTTTTATTTCATCTTTAAGTAAAACAGGATAATCATAATTCTTCTTTCATTCATTCTGTTTATCATCTTCCATAATTTCCCTATTTCTGTTTCCCTTCCCAAAGAGTTACAAAATTTCCTCCAATCTAAAAAAGTTAAATCTGGTCCTCTGGACATTCAAAAAAACAAAAAGCAAAACAAAAAAATATAGAAACGTTTCATCTCTCATCCTGAGGACTTCCTTAGTCTGAGGTGCTGTATTCAGCTCAGTCTCTTAAATAGCACCTTCTCAGAGTGGATCAACCAGTTTTGCTGCTGACAACCAAAACCAGCTGATCACATGCTCAAGAAGGACCATCAGCCTAACAATGGATCATTAGCACCTGATGGCTGTTTACTGTTCACAGAGGGCTGAGTGATACTAGCAATCACAGCATTGTAAGAGGGGGACAGTTGAACCCGTAGCAGAGCAGAGAAGAAACCCAAACAGGACTCCAGTCAGCCATCAGGTGAAAAGGAGGAACCCAGACCCAGACCAGTGGTCATTCCATATGTTGAGGGAGTATCAGAGAAACTGAGACGTTTATTTTCTAAACATAACGTCCCAGTGGCTTTTAAACCCCAAAATACATTAAAGACTGGTTCATCCCAAAGATCCAGTCCCCGGCACAAACAGAGTAATGTTGTGTATGTTGTTCAGTGTCAGGAGGGTGATCAGTCTTACATCGGGGAAACTAAACAGCCACTGGCCAAAAGGATGGCCCAGCACAGAAGATCAACATCATCAGGCCAGGACTCTGCGGTCTACACTCATCTCCAGGCCAGCGGTCACTCTTTCAGGGATGAAGATGTTCACATCCTGGACAGAGAGGAACGATGGTTTGAGAGAGGAGTAAAGGAGGCCATCTTTGTGAAAAGAAACCGTCCATCATTAAACAGGGGCGGAGCCTCCAGGTTCAACTGTCCCCCTCTTACAATGCTGTGATTGCTAGTATCACTC